GCAGATAGAGCGCTTGGCGATGGAGACAGAGCGCTGGTCCGTGCAGGCAGAGCAGAGGGCTGTGCAGGCAGAGCGCAGGGCCGTGCAGACAAAGCGCAGGGCCGTGCAGGCAGAGCGCAGGGCCGTGCAGGCAGAGCAGAGGGCCGTGCAGACAGCGCGCAGAACTGAGCAGGGCTGAGATCCATACCCAGTGAAGGCCTCTACTGTAAAATGTAAAATTCTTACAAATAATGAAAAAAAGTATTAATGATCATTGACAGCACACTTTTTTTGTAAATCTGGCAATGAAAAACATCTGGAAGAACTTCTTTGCAAAATTGTGCCACATCAAAAAAAATTTATTAAAATAAAACACAATGCAATAAAATAAAATTGAATTTTAAACATTACACACTGAAGACATTCCAGTCAGAGTAAAATACAAATGCAGAGGGTCAGGTTTCAGCTAACAAGGCTAAGCTGCCTAGCGTAGGTTGTACTGTGAAGGTCTGGCTTCCTGCACGTGCCCATATCTCAGTGCTGCTTAAATACAAACAATGCATACAACAGGTGACAAAAATATATAACAAATAACAGGAAATAAAACCAATACATAATGCAACCTGGTGGATTAAATTCCAGCGCATCAGCTGTAGCAGCATTTGGTGTTTACTGAGCATCTGTCAGCTTCTGTGTGGGTTTGCATAGGTCACATTTGGGGACCAAAATGTCCCCAAAGTGCGGTAAAACCTGACACTTCTTCAAGTCCCTATTTGGATAACCTCAATTTTATAAAAATCTGTGAATGCAATCAAAAAAGTGAAAGTCTTGTATTTTGGTTGGTTACTTATGGTTAAGGTTATGGATGGGTAGAGGTTAAGGGTGTCATGATTGGGATTAGGGTTTTTCCCATAGAAATTAATGGAAGGTCCCCATTTAGATAGGTATGCCAACTTGTGTGTGTGTGTGTGTGTGTGTGTGTGAGAGAGAGTGTGTGTGTGTGTAGGAAGTGAATCGGTAATACAGAAGTGATGTGGAAGCCTGGTAGGAGCGTGAAGTAGCAGCTTGTGTCTCACTGACCCAGCAGAATGTGTTGCTACGGTGACAAGACCATTTATTTAAGACACCTCTGCTGCAGGGGGCTCGCACCTCCAGCCCAAGCCCCCGCCCGGCCAGGCACAGGCATGTCCCAGCACCCTAGTTCCAGCTGTGCCGCCTCTGATCGTGCAGTGCGCAGACGGCCCTCACCTTCAGGAACACACCAGAATCTTGTCTGATATTCTGTGAGAACAAACCGTGAGATTCCATGGGGCCTGAGCCAACATCAGGGAGCCCCCCCCCCCATCGTGCTTCCGGAAAAAAGGTGTACATTGCCCCCGCTTCCCAGCAGGACTACGTCCACTGTTGTTTTTGTCGAGATTTGCAGAACAGCTTTTTTTTGTCAGATATTGTTCCATTTGTGATTATGCTTATCAATAGTAACATCAAAATCTATTACTCTTCATAACAGTCACATGATCGTCCCAGGTAGCATAGGGGATGTCAGAGGGGCCGCCCCTCCAGTGGTCACATCCACACTGCATGCACACACACACTCTATGTCCAGTGGTCACATCCACACTGCATGCACACACACACTCTATGTCCAGTGGTCACATCCACACTGCATGCACACACACACTCTATGGACAATTTAAACACAGCGGTTACCCTAACTGCATGTCTTTGGACGGTGCAAGGAAACACTCCTGACCTGGGGAGAATATGCACACTGCACACACGCAGGACAGAGGAGGGATTTGAGCCCCCAGTCCTAACGGAGCCGTACCACCGTGCTGTCAAAGTAAACAGCAACATCCACCATACAATCAGCACATGTTATTGATTGTTTTTCGAAGGTTTGCGTTCATCTCAATATTATCCATAATGGAGCCTCAGTTTTATCATTTATGCACAGCCTTTGCGCTTTGAGCCTGGATTCCTGCTGAAAAGACGTGAGTTTAAAAGGACGACGGAGTCTAGCCGACCTGCAGATCAGATGTGCCGCTTCAGATCTGCGGCTCTCCAAGTGCCTGTAGCTCTTTACCCACCATAGATAGTTCCAGACCTAAGGGACCGTACAGTGCCCTGCCCCCTGGAAACTGGACATTTTCAGGTTGTGATTATAATTCCGGCCATGTGACTTTTCAGCCCCTCGAGTCTTTTGGGACCCTCCGTGCCACTAACTGGGGGTGTCTGTGTCTCCCGCTAAATCTGCGCAGAGCGGCTGTGAGTGAGTGTTGGATAAGGGCTCTCATGCCTGCAGTCGTACACTGATGGTGATACATGCCAGGGGAAAAAAAAAAAACACCCACAGCATATTTTACAAGAATGCTTTCAAGATCTTAACATCTCCTGTCTATATGTTCAACAAGCTGTTTCTGGAGGGTTATCAGGAAGATCTTGATTGTACAAGTCATGCAGTGTGCTTTCCAGCTATGACATGTTAGAAAGCACGCAGCTCGGGAAGAGAAATGTCTGATAACCACTACAAAGCATGTCGGGGGGGGGGGGGGGGGGGGGGGGGGGGGCAGACGGCTGCTGCAAAGGCACATGTGAGTTTAAAGTGGCTTGTGAGAAGCTTCCTTTCTGTCGTCACTTGGAAATGGTGAAAGCTGGCCGATTTGTTTGCATGCGATGCATTAATATAACTGGCACTTATTCTTCAAATGTATATTTTGTTGATTTTAATTAAACTAAGCCCTCTCGGAGTAATAAGAGAGACGAAAAGTTGCACCTCCAGCAACGGATGTGCCAGGTGGAGGGAAACGAACTGCTTGATTATAAATGATCTGCCTCATTTTATGAGCTTTTTAAAACAGGGCTTTGATAGTTATACTGAATGCAGGTATGATTCTGCAGAGGATTAAACTGATTTCTGCTTCTTGTGAAGCCTCTTGGATTGGATTGTGACACCTGGGGCCAGAGTCTGAGTAGCCCGGATACGGGGTGGGAGCAGAGGGCTGGGGAGGGGGCCGCTCCACTTCCTGGGCCCTAATGGCCAGGCTCACAGTGCCGTCACCCGCACGACGCAATTATCCCTGCTGCCCCAGCTGAGCCAGTGACGTGTCACATAGGCCCAGGTTTAGAGCCCCGCCCCCCCATAGCCAGCCATCACTGACACTCTTCCCAGTCTGACAAGGCTGCCCCCCTCCCTTAATTCTGTACCGCAAATCACCAATTAGCAGCAGTGGCGATGGTGAGGACCCAGCTCGCCTAATCAGCTTAAATCCAAGTTTATTTCCTGCCCCCATGCCTGCCCGCTCCAGCAGGGAGGGGTCTTTTTTTATCTGTTTATCCCCAATTTCCTCCAACCTGTAATGTGTTTCGCAGACACACTGTCAGTTCGTCTTAGAGAAGGATTCGCTGCGCTGACACCCAAAGCTTTCGGGACTGCGATGAGAGCGAAGCTGCAGCTCCCACAGCGTCCCTGTCCGGCTCCGAACTTCTCCACCGCGCCTCACCGTGCTCCTCATTTCAGGGAACTGATATTCCACAGTCCCCGAGACACGAGACACCTCGTATTCTGTACTGTGAGCTTATTTCCGTTCCAAAGAAAACAGAGAAAAAGAAAATGTAACCAAAAACTGTTTAGCAAATATTTTAGTTGCATAGAATGCGCTTTTTCATGCCGGGGATTCATACCCCCCCCCCCAATCCCTTGTAACTAGGACACGGCTGAGATCAATTTATCAAAATAAGAAAAGCTACAAATTACATTGTCAAATGACCTCATTACAAGAAGCAGGATTAACAGAGCTGTGTATTCTAGTAGGGAGGTGTGTTAGAGGTGAAAGAATTTCCTTTTAGTGGGGAGATGTTATTGTTGGAACCCTGTGGATGACCAGTCTGCGGAATACCGTAAGCCCTGGCACGTAGCTGACTCGGGGATCTGATTGCGGAGAATGATGTCATTGCTGGAACCTCGACTTAAAACGGTGAGCAATTACAGTCTCCTCAATCACTCTCGCAGCCAGCCTCCAGGCCTGTTCCTGGCAGCGCTGAGATGTGGACACATTCACTGAGATTTACACGCTGAGTGGTCTCAGAAAAGGGCTTATAAGATTTCCATGGCAACTTGTGCATATTTACAAAGTCTTTACCTGAATTCCTGCCTTTGGCAGAGTAGAAGAAATTAACATTTGATGGCTTACCAAATAAAATTAATTGAAAGCTTGGCCCATAATTAAAAGTTTAAAAATATTTTTGTGGTTTCCTGTCCGACAAGAATATCAGAAAACACATTATTTTGTACTGCTCTAAAATTGCAAAATTAAAAAATAGTGGAATAAGCCCCTTTTGTGCTTTGTTTGGTTATAATAAAAGGCAAACCCTGCATTCCCTTCACCCAAACAAAAATCCAAGCCTGCACCATTAATAGATTCTAATGTGGTTTCCACTATTAACAGATGCTGGTGGTTTTCAGTCATTGATAGTTGCTGTTGAAGATCAGCATGATTACTCTGCTCTGAATATCCCTTCATGGGCCCCCGTATCTCTGCAATGTACCTGTTGTTGGGATCTGGTCAGCTGGTCAGCAAAGGTGAAGAGAGCATGTAACATCTTCAACATGGTCACACTGCAGCTCAGAAGCACTGCAGAGTCACAGGAATGTGTGTCAAAGAAATCGAAATTCACATCTTATACCTGCAACACATTAGGATAATGCACTGCAAATACAGGTAAAAGCGCTATTCTGTAATACATGCAATAAATTAATGCTTCACTTTGTACTTTTACAGTAGCTGAAAATCGCTGCAGAGCTTCTGCCAGTTCAAGATGTCGGATGGCCCCCTTGAAAGGCCAGGACAGAAATACAGGTTTACCCCCAACAGAGTGCGATGTACCTCTCAGCACCGTCTGAGCTCAACCTCTGCAGCCCACGTGGGGGATGATCCGTTCGTCATCTCTTTGCTTTCGGTCGTCGTCCCCCCACCTCGTGCCCTGGCGTATCGCAGGTCGGGGGCCGGAGCTGCCGCCTTTGGAGTGCAGAGGAGCGACAGGTCTGTGCTTTAAAGCACTGCTCCATGACAAGTATGAGATGAAGTAGGTTGCACGAATGGAAAGGATATTCCTTCTGGAAGGAAAGTTTTATGCAAAAACCTTCTCGGTGTCAAAGTAGGTGCCGCGTGAAAAACAGCCCCGTAAAGCACAGTAGCTCAGAGACTCGGAGGACAGAATTCATTCGCGAAAAAGGCGCATCTCCTGGCGACGTGCAGCCATGTATTTAAAAAACTATTTATGATCCCGACGATGTTGCTTAAGCTGAGAAATACACAGCAAGATATGTCATTATGTATCTGCTGTGATTCAAGGCTCCTTCCACAAACGGCTCCAGGCAGCTAAAGCTGGAACTAAACACGTACATTCCTGTATTCTGACTCATAATTGTTATTTTTTCAACCTCTGCTTCCAAAATCAAATTGTTTAACACTGCACTGGTAATTTTTATCTTTCATTTAAAAAGGAATTATAAGTACATTAATTATATAGTTTAAAATCCCCAAAGTAGCCAGTACATGCCACGATAAACAAAGAACTGTATTTCATTAGACACGGGGGAAGTTTTACTATTATTTTCGCTGTGTTCCTTTCGCTTTACTGTAAGATTAATATGTTTGTTCTGGTCCTTTTGGCTCAATTTACTTTACATGGCGACATCCCGAAATAACATCTGTATACAGCGTGTCTAATCGAAACTATTTGCTAGTTGTAAACATAACGTAAAATTAGCAACAAAAATCTTTCATTCTTCAATCCTAGTAAACTTTAATTTACACCTAACCAAATGTAAGCTTAGTGATCGCTACAGCTTTATAAAATGTTAATCCATCATGTATTTTAAATCATCACAATGTGGCAATATATTCAGATGTATGACTGACAGTAAAACGTCACTGCAGCACTATGTCGCCCCTAAAAATGTTAAAACGTTTCTGAATGTTAAACCGTATGCGCCTGGAAAGCAGCCAGCAGCTGTTTGGCCGACAGAGGGCGCTGTTTGATAATTACCGCTTCAGCCTGGAAATCATGATTCTCAGTAATTCAACTCTTTCTATATCGCAGATAAAAATTCGCTAAATTTCATTCATCGATTCCTTCAGTGACGTTTCCTTTTGCCCAAATGCGGTGTAACTTTTTGCCTACTAACTTTTCTTTTATACTTAATAATAGGCATACTCTTTCAGTCAGTACACAAAACGTCTTTAACGGTATAAAATAGTAATTATTGATTTTGTTGTATTATTTTACGATGCTTGTTCAGTTTTTTTTTGTAATCTAGACCCAACACACCAATTAAACGTCCAATGACATACTCAACTAATCTTTTTTAAATTAGCCCTAATCTCTTTCCCTGAGATTGTATGCGTAATGATTCTTTACTGTAGGGAGAAAACTGTCCGCAGTTTTATCTCAGTTGGATGATTTAGCCTATTGCTAACGAAACAGTGGAATCTCGTGTAAGCTACTTAAAGATACAATTTCCTGAATGAAAGGAAAAAATCTGTGCATGGAGGTGACCGAAATCATGTTGTTGATTTAAAAAAATAGTTTGAAGAACGATGACAAAGGGCACAAGTTACTGTAACTAGCCTACATTCCCTCAAGGTGTACCTCGCTTCGACTGATTTTACTTAAATAACGGAGCCTGCCAAACACCGTGCGTTACAATGCTGGTTACAACGTAGGACATGAGTATTGTCGCCGGGAAGATCACTGGGAAGATCGCCGTATTGGTGCCCGGAGCTGTAGTGACTTTCCTGCTGCCTACTTTGCGGTCCCAATGAAAGCGCGCTTAGTTTAGTCATACTGGTGCGAATTCCCCAGCTCTCTCCTAAATAAGCTTCACTCTGCCCAACGTGTATTTTAGCCTGTGTAACATAATCCTCCGATCTGCGTCCGTCCACATTTCGTTACTGGTGATTTAGTGCTCGGTTCTGTTTTTTTTTTTTTGTTTTTTTTTTTTTAAATTATAACCGACTTTCAGATGTCACTGGCTTAGAAACGTTTAAATATCGTTGTTTCCACATGCACACACGCAGAACTGAGTAAAACAGTTCCATATTCGTTTTAAAATTAAATGGGGAAGTCAAATCTGTACGGAAGCATGTTAAAATAAAAACGCCTCTTCATATACAAGCCATGCATCTTCCAGCTTAAAATTTTAAGTTCTTTTCTGCTTTGACAAAGCACTGTTATTGAAACCCAGTTTTAAAAAGTAAGAAACAAAAACCAAACGTTAGACTATACCGGTTCGGCCGCTGCTTGGGAATATAAGGTAGGGATTGTCTATACAAGTAAGGACTGTCCGTCATCTTACATGTACACTGTATCTACACATTAAGTCAGTGGGTTTGGGGGGAGTTTAACTTATGGATTGAAATAGAAGAATGTGCAACAATGTGCGGAAAAAAACAACGCAGTATATCCAGCACCCTTTATTTTCAGTCCGTCTAAAAATCCTAACAGGCTTTTTAAAACGAATATGGAAGCGACCGTGGGCTCCCAATTATCCTGAAACTTTTCTGTGGTAAATATCTAACGTAACTATAACCAGTTTTTCCGGTTTGGGATTTTTCCGACATGGCACGTTTTATTACTATGAATTAACTTACCGAACTGTGGTCTCTATTATACGTTCCCGTGAAACTGCAAATTGCTGTAGCCTATTTAAGTTGTTTACATGTTTCATATACATTATTATTTGTTTGTTTTATATTCTTGTTGGCAAGAGTCACTTAATAACTGGCTGGAAAAAAAATAAACTTAGTTTGCTTTTTCAATAGACTATGTGTAGGGGGCCTGGCCAGAATGTGCTTTTTCTGTTCAATTTCAGGAATAGAAGAATGACTTAATGGGATCACTAAAATTCACCCAAGAAAGTACCTGGAAAACAATCATTTCAGAGTTGTGGGGCCTCGGTCTGGCCGTGTTTGTGTGGGGGCCCCAGTGTCCTCTGGAAGTATTTGTTGAACTGGCGTCTGTAAGTTGGCCATAGCATGTGAGGGACTGGCAGCCCATACAGGACCACCCCAGTTTGTGTCCTGGGAATCCTGGGACAGACTGGGTACAGCTGGAAGATGCATGGCTTGTATATGAAGAGGCGTTTTTATTTTAACATGCTTCCGTACAGATTTGACTTCCCCATTTAATTTTAAATGAGTGGGATTGGCGACAGGACCCCCAGCAACCCTGCCTACGAGCTGCAGCTGGGAAATGGATAGATGGACTTTTATTCAAAGTGGTGTGTGTGGTGCATGTGAAAGAGCCTGCTGTGTGAAGCATAGGGCATTATTCATGGAACACTCTGAAACATGGTATGGGAGGCTTGCCACACACACACACACACACACACACACACACATACACGGAGGGGCTACCCATTAACCTAAACAGCATGTCTTTGGATTGAGGAAGGAAACTGGAGTACCTGGAAGATATTGACACAGACACAGTGATCCACGCAAACTTCACACATGGCTGAAACTAAAGCCCCAGGGGGTGTGAGAGGACACCGCTGGCCACTGAGCCGCCGCACTGCCATAAATACATAACCCTGAAATACACACGCTTATGTTGACATCTTTCCTTAGTTTTTCTTCTTTATCACTCCTATTTCTGGAACTTTCTAATTTCATACTGTAGATCCCTCTCTTTTCCCCATCAGGAAATCACATATAGATTTACACAATCCCCACTTAAATATATTGCAAAGGTGCACATTGTGTGAACATGTCACCCATTTTTGCTTAAAGCTATTTATTTACTGCATCCATACTTGCGTACCCTGGAGAGGAGGCCTCTGCTGGATCCATCGTCTCGTCCACGCGGTTTTACAGCAGCCAGAAGTCCCCGTCCTCCCAGTCCTCCCCGTCCTCCTCGTCCTCCCAGTCCTTCCAGTCCTCCTCGTCCTCCAAGTCCTCCCAGTCCTCCTCGTCCTCCCAGTCCTCCCCGTCCTCCTCGTCCTCCCCGTCCTCCCAGTCCTCCCCGTCCTCCCAGTTCTCCCCGTCCTCCCCGTCCCGCTTCCTGCCTGGGAGTTGCTCGCCCTGCGGTCCTAAGTGCACATGCGTTTTAAGAGTGCCCCCCCCCCCCCCCCAACATTTTTGGAAAGCCGATGATGGTAAGAGTTTGCTCGCGAGCTGAAAGGGAGGGGGAGGTGGGAGAGGCTCCAATCGCTGCTCTCGAGAAGGACAGAGACCCCCGGTCACCCTAAAAGTGCCAGAAGGTGCCCTTCTCCTCAAACAGAGGCCAGGATGCTGCCAGCGCTCAGCCCTGAAGCACCTTGATGGTTTTCTGGAGATTATTTCAGCCCCAAAGAATGTAAATTCGCTCTCCGTGTAGCCGGGGTGGAGGAGAGAGAGAGAGAGCGGTGGGGGGGGGGGAGGCCTGGTGTTTCTCAGGCTTGCTGTGGCCTGGCAGTGTCCCCACCAGTGACTCGGGTCTCCAGTGGCCTCCGTCTCCCTCTCTCTCTCTGCCTCTCAATAACCCTCTTTCACTGTGTGGGGCAAAAGTTGTTTGGGATGAAATTTCAGCGTGGCGTGAGCGAATGCTTTCTTGAGTTTAGCACCTTTTTTTCTGAAGAGACTAAATAAATGACTTCTCCTACTGCTCTAATTGGCGGTGGTTTGTTGATCAGGTATCGCTGCCCTAAGACTGAAGTACTTCATTGTTTCTCTGGCAGCTGATTGAAAGAGTCTGTTTGTGCTTGTTTAAACGTCTCGCTTTTTTTCTCTAAAGAGGAGAAGCGTTGCTTAGTAACAGCCCCTCAGCATCAACATGTAATTCTGAGCTTTCCATCAAAGCAAAGAAGTCTGAAGGGCGGGGTTTTGCACCCACAGACCTGCCTCTTATAAACCGCAAGCAGCTGGACAGAATAATGATCAGTATTAATGGGAAGGTTTGGGTCTCAGCGGCTGCACTGTAAGGGGTTTAAAGGGGCAGCTACTTTCTCGGTGCTTCATGGGAAATGGAGAAAATTGACTGTCAGGGCGAAGGTCAGGGCTCTGTGTAAAGGTGAATGGAAAATATATACTCTCCTCTCAGCGTTCCCACATGTTAAATACGTTAAACACAGTTGGGGGGGTGGGGGGCAGAGGGCGGAAGCAGCTCAGATCTACAGCACAGCAGCGGCTCCCCAGTCCTCACAAACGCAAATGGGTCTTTAACAGTGACAGCCGCAGTGGTCTTTAACAGTGACAGCCGCAGTGGTCTGCGGAGACCTGGGGGGCACTTCGCCACTTAGCTAAAGCTGACACAGAGTCGCTTTTCAGATGCTCGTTTCCACAGTGACCGGCAGCAGTGAAGTGTTCCTTCTGCTTCTGCTGCGTGTTTTCCCCCCCGTGTATAAAGGTCGCACTGGAGCAGGCTCATGAGGCGATCTGTCTGTGGATCGGTGAAGGCAAACTTCATTATCCAGTGAATCAGATGACAGACAGATAGCCCCGTCAGGCCCTGATTGGCCTGTTTAGTTAATGCCCTCATTCCAGGAGCACCGTGGGTTATAGCGGTGGTGTCACCTCCAATCTGGGAACACAAGTGCTTCCGTGACACAGAGAGGGTGGGACTCAGCTAGTGGCTTTCAAACAGGAGCGCCCTCTAGAGACGGGTCAGGTGCATTGCGGAGATCCTACTGTTGTCGCTAACTGGCCAACACACCCAGATTTCCCGTTGAATTGTAATGTTTGTAGTTGTAATCGTAAACAATAATTGAGTTTGAGTATAAAAACACATTTTAAAGGAAATCTTAGTATGTAAATTCTTTGGTTTGGAACTTTTTGTATTGTTTACTTCCAAATAAGTAAAGTGGAAGCATCTAGGAACAACAGAAAATCAGACATGAAGTAACAGAGCAGGGTCGCTGGGTGCTGAGGTGCATAGTGTGTAAAAGTCACCGATGCTCTGTCGACTCAATAACTGCAGAGTTCCAAACTTCCTCTGGCATTAACTCCAGCATAAAAACCGTGCGCCGTGAGCTTCATGGAATGGGCTTCTATGGCCGAGCAGCTGCATGCAAGCCTCACATCACCAAGCGCAATGTGTCAGATGCAGTGGTGTAAAGCACACCGCCACTGCACTCTGGAGCAGTGGAAACGTGTTCTGTGGAGTGACGAATCACGCTTCTCTGTCTGGCAGTCTGATGGACGAGTCTGGGTTTGGCGGATGCCAGGAGAACTGTACCTGCCTCACTGCATATTGCCAACTGTAAAGTTTGGTGGAGGAGGGGTAATGGTAAGGGGCTGTTTTTCTGGGGTTGGGTTAGACAGTGAAGGGAACTCATAATGCTTCAGCATGCCAAGACATTCTGGACAATTCTATGCTTCCAACTTTGTGGAAACAGTTTGGGGAAGGCCCTTTGCTGTTCCAGCATGACTTTGCCCCAGTGCACAAAGCAAAGTCCATCAAGATATGGTTGGGTGAGTTTGGTCTGGAAGAACTTGACTGGCCCACACAGAGCCCTGACCTCAACCTCATCAAACAACTTTGGGATGAGCTAGAACGGAGATTGTGAGCCAGGCCTTCATGTCCAACATCAGTGCATGACCTCACAAATGCCCTTCTGGATGAATGGACAAAAATTCCCACAGACACACTCCAAAATCTTGTGGAAAGCCTCCCCAGAAGAGTGGCAGCTGTTATAGCTGCAAAGGGGGGACCAGCTCCATACTGATGGCTATGGATTTAGAATGGGGTGTCATAGAAGTTCTCATGGGTGTAATGGCCAGGTGTCCCAGTACTTTTGCCCACAGTATGTGTGTCTGTGTGTTGCTGCATGTGTGTGCAGCCTATCGCAGACTCTGGCCCTGCCTGTCTGTCACGGGCCTCGCTGTTTACAGTGCCTCCCATTCAACTGCTCCTCAATGAAGCCACTATCTATGGAAGCTGAGGGCCCGCAAGGAGCAGCCGCCACTGACGGGGCACGGCCAGTGCAAGGTGAAGGTGCGAGAAGCTGGGGCAGGAACCACGCAGACAGTGTGTCACACGTGTCCCTTCTCTGTGTATTAAAATCGGCAGTAAAATAGAAATGCAGGTCAAAATACTGTTATAGGGCCAAACCCTACAATACTGTCTGCCAAACTACTCTGTAAGGAGGCTCCTTCTGCCTCAAAGTCTGCATCATTTAGAAGAATACAGCTGCTGACATGCTAAATTTCTATGTTAAAATTAATTGCATAGCCCGCTAAAAAGACAAAGTGATTCTCCTTTGCTCTCGTTCTGTCCGAGGTGTTCTGCAAAGGCCCAGCGAGTCCGTTTTCTTTCTGGCTGTTCAGAGGGTTTCACTTCCACCCTCTCGCACCTGGATCCTGCGCTCACTGTGTAAACGTAAGGAGGGTCCGCACAGGTACACCTGTGGGAGTGGTCAGTTACACTTTAATGACCTTTAAACCCCCCCAAGAGGGTGGAGACACACCGGGCGATCAGCCCCTCCAAGCCATTCCGTTTCTGTTCCATTCCAATCAAGGATGGAAGTTTCCACATTCAAAGACAGATCTTATCAGTCAAAAAAAATGCAAATCGCTCAGCCAAAACAGGCTCTGACAGTTGCCCTTTTGGACCACAGATAATCCAAAACACAGAGCTTGTAATTACTTTTATTTTCATAAATAATACATTTTTAAATTCTGTACAAAATGAAAATGGCATATTCTCACTTTGGGTGACAGTGGGGAGCCATTCTGTGTCCCCTCTTTACTGGCCAGGCTCCTCACGTACAGAACCGCATGGGGGTCTTCTCTCCCCGTCATTTCTGCTCAGAGCAGCGTTGCTCTGGACGGGACGCCTGTTTCTGCTGCTCAGCTGCCAACGTGGAGCCTGCAGGCTCAGCTCTCCCTGAGTGCCCCCCCCCCACGCCACCTCCCCGCCACCCACAGAGCTCCTGATAGCATCTCCAACAAACACAGATCAGTGGGGCTCATGGGGGTGGGGGTGGTGGTGGGGGGGTGCTAGGACTGCGCTCCAGTGCCGCTGCTGTGCCGACATCCCCACCCCCCACCATCGCGGCCAGTTTCCTCTCTGGAGCGGCGCCGTGAGCGACAACAGTTCCCTGGTTTCACTCTTTTAAGAAAACTTAAAAACTAGGAATTGTGGCACAAATAAAGGCACAACTTTTATGGTTATTTCTGTGTCAGGATGATGGAGTATGAAGGATATGAGTACAGCAAGAGGCCGGGTGGAGTGAGGGGCTGGGGCCAGAGAGAGACCGGGTCCAGTGAGGGTCCAGGTCCAGAGAAAGACCGGGTCCAGTGAGGGTCCAGGTCCAGAGAGAGACCGGGTCCAGAGAGAGCCCGGATGCAGTGAGGGTCCAGGTCCAGAGAGAGACCGGGTCCAGTGAGGGTCCAGGTCCAGAGAGAGACCGGGTCCAGAGAGAGCCCGGATGCAGTGAGGGTTCAGGTCCAGAGAGAGGCTGGGTCCAGTGAGGGTTCAGGTCCAGAGAGAGGCCAGATCCAGTGAGGGTCCGGGTCCAGAGAGATCCCGGATGCAGTGAGGGTCCAGGTCCAGAGAGAACCCGGGTGCAGTGAGGATCCAGGTCCAGAGAGAGGCCGGGTCCAGTGAGGGTCCAGGTCCAGAGAGAGGCTAGATCCAGTGAGGGTCCAGGTCCAGAGAGGGGCCAGGTCCAGTGAGGGTCCAGGTCCAGAGAGAGGCTGGGTCCAGTGAGGGTCCAGGTCCAGAGAGGGGCCAGGTCCAGTGAGGGTCCAGGTCCAGAGAGGGGCCAGGTCCAGTGAGGGTCCAGGTCCAGAGAGAGGCTGGGTCCAGTGAGGGTCCAGGTCCAGAGAGAGGCCGGGTCCAGTGAGGGTTCAGGTCCAGAGAGGGTCCAGGTCCAGTGAGGGTCCAGGTCCAGTGAGAGGCCAGGTCCAGTGAGAGGCAGTCTCTGTGAGTGACACTGTCCAGGAGCCACGCACATTAAAGGCCCCTCAGCGAACTGCTAGCAGTGCAGGGCTCATATTCTACCCCACATGTCTGATGGCTGGGAGAGCAGCTGG